GGAACAGAGCACTTGAACAAATAAGCAAACATACTTACATGTACTTATTTGTATTTACGTATGTTTCGCGCAAGACTTCAGTGTAAATGTAATGAAATGAACAGCATCACCAAGAACCACATAAATAAATTTGCAAGTAGACTGCTTATATTGTCATAATTAAAAGTAAAATAGTTTTCAATAACATGTTCATGTGATAGTTAACAAAATCCACCATCTCATTTAGCTCGATGTAAGTAGACAAAGAAAAATCTTAATGAATTCAACATACTATGGCAGAATATCCATATTAAAAACTGTTGGCTCTATAATTTTTCTACCGCAGACAGCGTCGAAACTGGTCCAAATGACGAAGTATTCTCTAATGAAATGAGGAGTTTTGATTTAATATGTACGGTGAAAGAAAACACCTTGGAGAAACCTACATGTATGGGAAATAAAAAAAAATAAACTAGGGCATGTGGAGTCCACACGCACTGCAGTGCAGGAATAATTCGTTCTATAACCCTGTCAGAAATGAGAGAAGATCTGTACTCATTGTTCAACAGTGGGACATAGTTTTTTTACAACATTACTCGAGATAGTCTTGTAGAAATTATTGCATGGATCTCATTGTTATGACAGGCACGCATCAATTTCAACCTCTTGCTATTAACAAAATGCACCATCCATCCTTTCCATTCCATTACGGCCTATGTTCAACAGCAGCAGTGCCTCATAGGGGAATTTTTTTATAATGTTGAGTTGTAATCGGGAAGATGATTCTGCCCATCTCCTGTTTCAGTTTTACTCTGTCGCCTACCGCCCTCCCCACCCTCGACATTCTTACACCGCCACTAGGTACACGGTTACATCAAAATACACACCAATCACAAATGTTTTTAAATTTTTATATATTACGTAGGTACCTAGATCAAACGGAAATTAAGCAGATTATTAATAATTTGCGTGTAAATAGTGCAAGGTGATCTAACGTCGGTTGTGGCACGTGCTATGTGCTGTGATTATAGAGTGTTCAATTTTAGGTGACGGTGGTGCTCTATACAGGGTCGGTAGATTAAAAAAAGGCGAAAAACGAGCACACAGTTTAACTGATGGTAAGTGAATGGATCACATCCACAGACATCTGCGTCTATTCTCGATAAAGAATTAAAATGCAGATGCATTGTCACCCCTAATTTTTTATAGAACAAACGAACTGTGTGCCAGAATATTCTATAAAAAAAAAATTGCGATAAAATCCGTAAATTTAGTTTTATTCAATGTGTAGTGTTCGCGTAAATATACGAAATCATTACACAGAAATATTCGGCGGTTTACACTAAGTGCTTATGCGGAAACAAAGAAACAATTAGTGGTAACCACCAATCGCTCGTAATATCTTTCTCTAACCGACGCAACGCTCTTTGGGCAATACGAAAACTGAGAGAAGTGATTATAATAAAACGTTTTAGTGAATATAAAAATAAAACATTGAAAACATTCATCATCATCATCATCATCCTTAAAGCCACTCACAAGTCCACTGCTGAATGTAGGCCTCCCCCAAGGAATATTACAAAGCACGGTCCTAAGCCATCTGCATCCCATCGACTTCTTGCATATCTTACCAGGTCCTCACTCCATCTAGTGGGTGACGACTCCATCTACACTTCGCCTAACGGTGAAAATATTATCAACATTATTTTATTTATACTATATTTACTTATTTATTTATATTATTATGGTTGTAGCACAAATGGGTCGGCTTGACCGGAGAAGGACCACACTCACAGAATACCCGCGTAAAATAGCAGCTTAATGCTGCTGTGTTTTTGTTGTTTTTGCTGTGTGTTTTTTCGAACCAGTGATAAAACAGAGTGACTTTCAGTAAGTATTATTTATAATCTATATTGAATAATAAAGTTTCTGTTTCTGTTTCTGTTTGGAATCGCGTAACTGGTGTAACAAACTTGTGCTTGTTCCTAGTATTTACAAAATGCACATGAATATTTTTTTTTACTGCAGTTAAAATAGAATTTTGATATAAATTAGATTAGAACTACAAATGACTTGGAAACATTACTGAACGCCAACAGTACCTCGCGGACATTCCACAAGGTCTCCCGCGATATTGTTACTTAGTTAGCTGCTTAGTGAAAGTTGCACTTAACAATGCTGTAAACGTTTGAACGTTAACATCAATTAGGTTTTTGTTACTCTTTCCGCTTCAGAGCGTTTTAGATTTCTTGCCAGAAATATCTCTTCATTTTACACGGTTAAAAATGAGGGTATCCACAGTAGAACCAGAGTAACCGATTCATTAGTAAGCTGAAGTGGCAATGAGCTGGCCATATAGCTCGAAAAACCGATAACCGATCGGGAAGAAAGGCTCTCGAGTGGCAGGCTCGTGCCATCAGACGAATTGCAGGGCGGCCCCTACTAGATGGACGACCTGGTAAGACATGCATCAAGTCGATAGATGCAGTTGGCTCAGGACCGTGCTTTGTGCCATTCCTTGGGTGAGGCCTATGTTCAGCAGTGGTTTGTCAAGAACTGTAATGATGATGATGATTTACGTTTCCATAAATATTGTCCTACTTAGTAACCCAGTTTAAACAAAGTTTAGTCAAACTACTTCCTGCTATTGTTGAAAAAGGGGCCGCCCAAAAATAGGATTGAAAATATTTAGTCGTCCCATCCGTCTCTGGTAGACGACGAAAGTATTTTTAATTGTGAAAATAAATATAATGTAGCCCGCATCAGTCGCTGGGCGTGTGAGTGATGCTGACTTGCTTCAACGACCCCGTAACAAGTCATAGGGTGGTTCCCCGGAGTGAAAATATACATTAAAAACACACGTCGAAGAATAAGTGTGGTAGAATTTTCGAACTAATGAGTCGTTAGAAAAAAATTACTATAACTACATACATAACTACGTACTGTAGTTGGTCATTTAAGCACAGATTAAATAATGTAACTAGGTAAGATTAACGCTGAAAACACACAACAAACACTAAAACTTTATTCACGCATCAAAGACTTAAAAATTAAGAACATCGCCCCATAGCAATATATAACTTAACATAAATCTCTTTATATATAAAAATTACGTGTCACATTATTTGTCCGCGATGAACTCCTAAACTACTGAACTGATTTTAATGAAATTTAGCACACTGTGTACAGTTTGGTCCAACTTGAGATATAGGATAGTTTTATCCCTCGTGATCCTCAACGTTTTTTATAAGGATTTTTTTTTTGTAAGACAAAGGGTCGTCGGAGAGGACAGAACAACGTCTATCTGGCTTGCGTTCTTATAAAACATAAACATAACACTATTTAGGGAACTTTCTTCTTTGGCGCGTCGGTGACCCCAGAGGGCCAGAAATCGGGAAATCGAGCGGGGAATGTCTCTTTGTATTTTGTAGAAACCTGCAGTACGTATACTGATCTAGAAAAGATCACAAAAGCATTACAATTACTATATTGTAGTGCTCTTTTTCGCCACGGAATCTGTCTGTGCTGGGGGCCACCCTCTTACCTAATTCTACTGCATAAGTAGCACCCACTGCTGCGTTCTGGTTTGAAGAGTGAGAGAGCCAGTTTAGTTACAGACAGACATTTCACCTTAGCACTCAGTGGTTACCGCATCTATAGCCTACTTTGCTTGAAGTTGGCTGCTCTGTTGTATCTGATATCCATGGACTGCAGTAACCACTACGCTGTAGCCGTTGGTTCGTTGGCTTAGTGCTGGTCAACGTGATTTCTGATTATGAGGTCCCGGGTTCGAAACCCGGGGTGGGGCCGAAAATCAGTTGTTGAATTTTTCTGTCAAGAAATTCTCAGTAGCAGCGCGAAACCGGGAAGTTGGCGGTGTTTCACCGTCGTGTCTCGGAAAGCAAGTAAAACCGATGATACTGCGCCTGGTCTTTCTCCGGTAGTGTCGGATTAGCCTTCCATGGGTCTATGAGAGTGAGGGAATAGAGAGTGCACCTGTGCTTGCGCATACACTCGAACACTATAATTCTGTCACGCGCAGAATTCAAGTCTCCGATGAGACTGACCGCCGTGACCGTAATTCGGTCTGGAGAACATTATTTACTACCAGGTGGACTGTTATATCTCGTTTGTTGTAAATTTTTTTACGTTTTTTATCGCGGTAAATTTACTTAGTTTTAATTCCTGACATTTCCGGTGCTTTGCACCCATGGCAACGGGCCTACAGAGGAGATTGACGTCCCGATGTCAATTTTAACCTTCAGCTTTTCGTTACTAATTTTGCACCGATCTACGCAGAAATAACTTACTGTATCTAGTCTTGCAGTGGTATGTTGAGGTTTAGTTTTAACGATCCCTGTACCCAGGCTCCTTCTCCATTGTAATTAGGATGTTTTTTTAATTTTAACAGCTTCACGTGTCATCCTTGATAGGACGATTCATTATGTATTACATTAACATCGATATGTTTCGTCACGAGGTTTTGTCGTATATCAAATCTGAAGTAATGGCAGGCCCGTCTAGTTATCATATATCGCAAACTGTAGACTTCCTGGAGCGTTGGTGTTTCACGTTAGCTATATTATGTTCTTTACGGGGATTTATATAGGTCTTCTTGTTTGCCCTATATAAGAGAGATCACATTCATAATCAAGCTTGTACATTCTTGTATTTCGTAGAGGGAATTCCCGAAGATTTGTCAGTTCCTACCACATAACGGGTGGTAAGTACTAACTAATCTTCGAGAGTTAAAAATAAGTAAAATTATACGCCATAAAATCCGTAAAAATATCATTCAATGTGTAGTGTTCGCGTAAATATAGTAAATCATTACAATTAATATATTCAGATGTCACAGCCTTCATTAGACAGAAGAATATTATCATCATTAAGTGTACAAATGACACAATTAATCAAGACTAAATCGTGTGAAATAAATTCACACAACTTGACTTACTTCGATCTCTAAACAAGTCATTCAAAAGACTGAAGTACAGTAAGCGTGGTGTTGTTTGTTGCAGGAAACGGACTTTGTCGCCGAGCACGATCCTGAAGCGCGAGCAGAAGTGGCTGCGCATGCTCAACAACTGGGAGGCCTTCATGAGCAAGAACTACAGGAAGGTGCGCGAGCGCTGTAGGAAAGGTGCGCTTTGTCTAGTGCCTCGCGTTGCAACTTCACAGCAACTGTCTTTTTTTTATAGAATGAGTGTGACAAACGTGCAAACAGTCCATTTGAAGTAAGTGGATGTGATCCATACACATCTACGTCTATCCTCGATTAAGAATCAAAATGCAAATACGTTGTCACTCATGAGGACTAAGATGGAATGCCTTGTTTCCAGTTAAAACGGTCTCCGGTTCTCTATCTACACTCACCATACGAAACACAGCAGCATTGAGCTGCTGTTTTTCTCTGGTATTCGCATTCGTGCAACAGCCATAATATAGTTGCAGCATGCCTCTACCATGTAATAAAAATTACCTAATGTAGCCGATGAATGCCTGCAGCCAACTTAAACAAGACTACAGATCTGTTGTCACCTCCGAAGACAAGGATGGAATTTGCGGCTTCATGGCGCAGTGGCTTAGCAATGAGTTGCTAAGCTGGGGCCGCGGGTTGAAATCCCGCACGGAACATGTATTTGTATGGCCTGCGAATAATTGTTCCGGGTCTGGATGTTTGTCCTTGTGTAATTTATGTTTGTAAACTGCCTCCACAGTACAGGAGAAAATCCTAGTGTGGGGGTGACGTTTTTAAAAGAAATAGAAAACGAATGGAATGCCATATAGACTGTAATTATGCTACGTCTCTATTCTCTTCAGGCCGGATATAGCAGTGCACGCACTGGTGTTTGTCAGTAGAAATAGATAAGACGGTTTTTACCCGGCCGCCCCAGAAGAGGGGGAAATGTTTCTCGAGAGTTTGTATGTATGAATATCTATTTCCTTGGTACGCTTTGTAGCCTGTACGGCTTGATGGATTTTAACATATGAGGTGTCGAACTGCCTCCAAGGTACAGGACAAAATCCTGTTATGGGGGATAAAAAATGGATGGCTGGATAACATTCTATAGTTCTATAAAACGCTCACGCCAGCTTAATATGTTAACGAGCGTTCAGCATGAACAGTGTTTCGCACGGTCATTGTGTGGAGCGGTGCGCCGAGTTAATTGCCCTGCAACGGGACCTTCGTTTTGAGGGCTACGGACTACCGGTCGTTTGAACACTTCATAAAAATATTTTGGCTACTTAATCGTTCCCATTTCACACCTGTAATTTTGTTGATATAATATTATAGTTGTCCTTTTTATAGAATTAAGATGTTAAACGAGCACATAGTCTACCTGCTGGTAAGTGGATATTGTGTGGACATAGACATCTACATCTACGTAGAATAAGAATCAAAATTCAGATGCGTTGTCACCACCGAGAAATAAGATGTAATGCCTAGTGCCCAGAAAAAAAATACTCATCATACGAAACGCAGTAGAATTTACCTGCTATTTTACGCTGGTATTCTGTGAGGGCGCGGTGTTTACCCGGTCGAGTCGACCCATTTGTACTTTAACTAAAATATAATATAGCTGCAGCACTGCTCTACAACGTAGAATGATGCTACGTACGGTATATGGTACTAATAATAATTTAATAGAATACAATATAATGATAAGTGGTGTAAATTCACCAATGTGTTAAATAAATTTGGACGATATGTGCATAGCGATGTTAAGATTCATGCCAGTTGACATAAGTTGTTTTCTAATGTTTTCTTGTTTACTCATAAACCAGATAAAGCACGAAGCTAATCAAGCACGTTTAGTATTTTTAATAGGATACAGTGTTCAGATACATTGTACGAACTTAATGCCTTGTGATTTGTGACATTCCTTACCTATTAACCCTGTTGTTGACATGAGTGCCTTGACCTTCTTTGCTATATCAATGTAATAAATCCGTCCGAATTCTTAAAATTATCATAATTTGTTTTCCGAGCTTCCTACTGAAATAGACTACCACGCCTCGAAGTCATTTTAATTGGCGTATAATACACTCACCGGCACGGAAACTTGGCCACTCGTGAATTTGCTGATTATTTGCACTGAAACGTTTTTTTAACAGTAAATTAAGGGTAGATGCATTCAATAAGTGTCTCTAATGGTTTTAGAACGTAGAAATTTAATGTTTACTTCACCGAAATTTTTCTTTTCAAGATAACATGTTTTCACTAAAATTAACATCTTTCCATTGTCACTTTAAAAACACTACAAAGTTAAAAAATAAGTCTGTTTCTTTATTGTCTATCAGTTTTAATATCGGGTGTTTCCTCCCCTAGCCCTGATAACCGCTTGCATTCGATCTGGCATGCTTTGAATGATGTTTCTGACATCAACTTGCGGTATGCTGTCCCAAGCGGCCAGCGCTGCATTTCGGAGCTCATTTAGAGTTTGTGGCGGTTTGGAGCTGGACTTTATCTTTCTTTTGAACATACCCCATACATGCTCAATTGGATTTAAGTCCGGGCTACGAGCTGGCCACTGTAATTTTTGTATTCCAACCTCTTCCAGATATTCCTCTACACAATGTGCGACGTGCGGGCGTGCATTATCGTGCATGAGGAGGAATTGGTCGTGTCCAATGAATCCCGAATAAGGAATTACGTGCTCCTGAAGAACTTCCTCGATGTATCGAGTAGCTGTAAGCCGATTATCGACGATGACCAACTCTGTACGTGCGTCGGAACTTACACCTCCCCATACCATTATTGAGCCTCCATGGAAACTCACAGTTTGGGTGGTGGTAATGGGTAGAAACCTCTCTCCTCTTTTTCTCCACACTCGTTCTCGACCGTCTGGAGCACGTAAAGCTATTCGACACTCATCTGTGAACAACACTCTAGCCCATTGCTCGTGGGTCCAATTGACATGTTCTCTTGCGAACTGAAGTCGGGCTACTCGGTGCTGTCTGAGAAGTTCTGGACCTCGTGCTGGTCTACGAGCTTTTAAATTCACTTCCTCCATTCGTCTTCTCACCGTACGCTCACTAACATTAACGCCTCTTGCGATTTGGAGCCGCTGGCGTATCTCAACAGCGGTCAGGTAGCGGTTTCTCAAAATCTCCATAACAATAAAACGATCGTCCCGGGCCGATGTGCACCTTACGCCCCCACTGCCTGGCCTGCGGGTGTAGCGTCCTGTCTCCTGGTATCGTTTCAGTGAATACTGCATTGAGGACCGTGGTACGTTAAGCACAATAGCAACTTCACGCTGTGTCAGCCCTTGGTCAATTAATGCTACTGCTTGTGCAACTTGTGCTGGTGTTAATGGCATTTTTATTGGCTTTAAAGCACCTTTAGTTATTGAATTAAGACACAAGATCACAATAATTGAATAACCTTACAGTAAACTTTTCACAACACACAAATTTAAAATGTGAACTTAGTCGCTCAAATGACCCGATTCAACTAAAAATTAAAGAATTCGTCATGGTGCACTTAAACATAATGAATTACCCTCTTGAACTTGAGAGCAAACATTTTTTGACATACCTGCATAACAAACATTCATCAGAAACACTTAAAGCTTTTGCTATCGCGAGATAACCGCTTGGCCAAGATTCCGTGCCGCTGAGAAGATGTACACAGCTAAGTCGAGGCGGTGTCGGGGCGCAGGTGATGTGTTTCAAATACACAGCGAAAAGACCTTACCTCGACCTCGATCTCGACTGTAGCGATTGACCTGTAAATTATTGGTTTGATTCAAAATTTTCGTGACCATGAACATCCGTGGTCCACAGGCATTCCAGCATCGGTGCGTCCGAAGGCGTGGCTGTACTTGTGCGGAGGGCAACTGCTGCTGGAGAAGCATCCGCACGAGTACGAGGAGCTGCTGCGAGCGCCCGGAGACCCCAAGTGCATGGACGACATCCGCAAGGACCTCCACCGCCAGTTCCCCTACCACGAGATGTTCATACGGGAAGAGGGCTTGGGGTGAGTTTTTTTTTATAGAATAAGGGTGACAAACGAGCACACAGTCACACAGATTACAACGCATCCGTAGCCTTGGTTGTTTGAAGTTGGCTGCAGGTGTCCAGAGACATACATAACTTGCCATCAGCTGGACAGTAAGGTTTGTATGTATGGATGCTATTGTATCGCTCGATTACGACAGACAGGTGTGACTCAGCGTTAGGTCATCTCCATTGTATCTGGTTAAATGAGTTTAGAATTCGCTAATTAAAACAGGTCGTTACAGTTGGAAGCAAATTTCGTAATGAACAAAGAAAGCAGGCAGAGAAACCACACCAACTGGAAAGAACAATTAGGATTATTACAATAATTGTAAAATTCTAAACTATATGTGAATACTTACAAAACAAAATTATTTCTTAGCGAATTACGATAAGTATAATCCATTAATTAAATTTAAGACGCTGTCACTCCCCAAGTACCTGAAGACACCAATTCATCAACTGATAGTTAATCAAGAATTTTAGCTAACGACAAGAAAATTAAATAATTACAGATGCCTTTGTTATGACAAATAATATAGGTAATTTTATCAAATATTACCTAGGCTGAGAGAATATCTGTTTCCACTGCAGCCAGAACTAAAATTAAAAAAAAATTAATGCTCGAACATACTAGATGTTTGGAGCACCTTTTATGGTTATGGCGTAAAAGTATCCACCACCTCATTTCATACTGGGGTCTCCATAAAGGCGAATCTGCAAAATGCAATAGCTGTATAACCATTTCATACACCAGACCGGCAATGGAAAGCAGCGTCACGGGTGCAAGACGTCTGATGCTGGCTCGTCAATTTGCTTGCCAAAAAACGTCCCTACAACAGAAAATGGCCGGCCATATAGCATGAAGAACGGGCAACCTATAGGGAAGAAAGGTTTTTGAATAGCAGTCTCGTACTGGTAACACGATCTAAAGAAATGCAGGACGTTGGCAGGTGGCTCAGAACCGTGCCTTGTGGCATTCACCACAGTGGAAATGTGAAGGACTGTAATGACCTTGATGAATAGAAAAAGTCCATGCCCATCCAAGAAAATCAATATATTGTTTCCTTAAGTGTGCTGAAGTTTTATAAGGAACAGTTAAAGCTTAACATTGAGTGGTCTGTCATATATTACTTTGTATTGTAGATGCACTTTTAGTAATCTATTGTCCTTGGAAAATCCTAGACGATCGAAAGTCAGCATATCACTTATCACCTCGTCACCCACCCCGCACCGTCTCGCCTCGAACGGTGGTGGTTACTTACACGGGCTTTTCTATACACGCTGACTTAACAACTTCTCACTCACCGTTACCGGATCTCTTCAACTTTATAGATGAACGGCGCGCCGACCTCGAGTGACCTAAATGAATGAATGAAACAATGACTCCATTTATATTTTCTTCACTAGGTAATCTTAGTACTAAGTATTAGAGAAGTGCAACACTAGTACCTAACTTGTGTGAGAGTGATGCCATCTGTGGGTATAAAGAACAGTACATACACATAAAGAACACAATAAGTGGTGTATACCGAGTGATTCAAGTGAGGGCCACCTTGCATACTCGCGCCTAGACTGACGTAAACTCGGATATTACGAAAGACGAGCACTTAGTAATGAAGGTCTCTTATATACTAAAATGTTGATAGTAACAATTCGTTAATTCAACATTTTTTTTATATTTCGTGTGTACGTGAGAGAAGTGATCACTCAATATGCCTACGTGATCCTGAATCGAGTGAATATGCGATGGAGATAACTATTGAGTGCTGTTGTGTCTGATAAACCGACTAAAAAATTCACATTGTGCGACAAACATTACATTTCTTCAAGTCGCAAAATTGGACTTCTTTTTCAACATTACCCGTAAAGTCCATTGCTCCTCCCCCGTGTAGGGAGAATTTTCCAATATTGTAATAATAGCAATCAGATTCTCGATATCAGTAGGAACCAGATATCTCGCACCTCTGACGCTGATCTCCGTCACTATTGGAAGCTTTGAAGTTCATCTGATATTTGCTGCTTACAAAATCTACAGGATGGAGGACATTGGAGATGGTGAATTCTTTTGCTCCGCAAACATTCGCCAAACAACACCTCACGTTTCAGAAATAAATACTTATGCAATAACATATTACGTCGTGGAAATCATCTTCCTATTTTATATACACATTCAAGACATTTATTTTCAAATTTTAATTTAATTACATTTAATTATCTATACATACAATAAATCTGTAGAAAAGTCGTGTCTGTAATTCTAATATATTCTTGAAAAAACAAATCCAGGGGACTAAATAAAGGGTTCTGAAGCCAAATTAGTGGTTTTAGAATTTTTGTCTGTCTGTCTGTCTGTCTGTCTTTCCGTCTGTCTGTGTATTCCGGATTCACGCAAAAACTACTGAACCGATTTACATGAAATTTTGTATGTAGGTAGTCAGTAACCCGGGGCAACTTATAGGCTACTTTTTATCCGATTACGGAACTTCAAAAAAGGAAGGTTAAGTTTATTAATTTCCTTTAGATGTTAATTTTCTGTTGTATCTTAGTTATAGGCGGAATGACGGGTGTTTTTCAAATAAATACCATATTACCATATTTGTAAATAAAGTTTAAAATATAGTTATAATCTTGGTAAAATAATTTGAAACTACACCGATTTCGTATTCAAAACAGCGCCATCTATCATCAAATGGAAAAAGTTGTATATTTTGCCTTCAGTTACTAATAAATTAAATAATATAAATAACTTACATTTATATCATTAAATTATTAGATTTTTAAAATTATTAAAAAATTGTAACGTTCAGTTTTTTAGTATGTTGTTATTTTATTTTAAAAGTGTAATAATTTCAATAGATAATAGTGATCTCTATCAAAAATATGAAAATTGATAAGGTATTTATTTCAATTACTAATATATATGTAAAGTGTTAAAAACTGGTCTGTCTGCAATTGTTGCAGAATTTTAATTATCATCATAGTTTTATTAAAGAGATTTTTATGTAAGTCGTAGCCAGATCGTAGAATTGATCATATATCATAAAGTAGTCTATCATTTCGTGAAAACACTGAAAAAAGGACTGAAATGAATGTGTATTTAACACTATTTGATGACCGTGTCATTATATAGCTTGACCAAATCAATGAATAGAAATCTTTTGAAGTTATTAGTAATTAAACACAACGTTGCTATTTCATAATATGGTCATATGACGATATGATTATCGTTTTTCACCGCTAGCGGCGCTGATAGCTTATTTTTAACAGAAACAGAACTTTTAAGAGAATTGACATCACTTTATCCCTTATTGATTTGATATAATAAATAAATGTTCGTTTCTATTGCTGATATTACTAGATGGTATAGTTTTGACTTTCATTATTTCATGTAATATTAGCGCCACCTACTTACTTCTAAATAAATTAAAATGGCAAGATATTGATAAAATGAAATGTTACTGAATATACGATGTAAATAATTGAATCATTTACATTACGTACATCCCGCGTTGGAATCAGTGCAGCGAACTCTTTTTTGGCCAAAAACTCTACAGCCTGTGCCAAGTATTAGCATGTACGAGTATGTAAGCTGCTTTTTTACTTTTCATGGGGCAATATATGCAGTTTCTATTTCATTCGTGTTTTCGGGTATGATAATTTATGTTTTCACTCTACCGTAAATATTAAGGCTTGCAAAGATGAGTAGAACTCATTATCGTCAGCCTATCAAAAGTCCACTGAAATGAACATAGGCCTCCGTCATAAATTGTCAAGTAGCTGGATATTTGCTATAGTGGCGGGTTGGCAACAGCAGCTATTATTATTTTGATCTGTTGTTAAGAAGATGATGCAGTTCATCCCATCTACTGTTTATTTCCTATGTCGCCTCTTACGACGGGACGATATGATGTGTTGGATTTTCTTTCACCGCCACAACAGTGCGAACATTTTTCTACTCCCGTTCATGAGTGTAGTGTTCCTCACGTTCACTGTGTATAAAATTTATAAGGAATACAAGTAATTTTAAGGATTTTATTCGCGTTTAATTTTAACTTTTTAAATTCCCGATGGTTTGGGCAATTTATAGCACCCATGGTCACGGGAGGGGTGGGAGAACTGAGGTGTTTGACGACCTGATGTCATAGTTAAAATAGAATAGTTAAAATGCAGTAGTAGTTTGAATTTAATTTTATTAATCATGGAGTCCTTAGCAGATAGTAGCACTCAGCCATCTTCCCTATTAAAATTAGGATGTTTTTAATTTCAATAGCCTCGCGAATCATCATTGGTAGGATTCGGTGTTCTATTGCAAGAATTTGTTGTATATAATGATTGGGACGATACTAAACATGTTTACATACTTTAGACTTCCCGGAGCTTCGATGCTTTCATTCGGTGAGGAGTCAAGATGCGTAAAATACCCGTAACATTAGTTTTAATCCATGTGTGGTGTTCATTATTATAGAACTGTATTTATGAAATTTTCAAGTGTACTCGAAGTAAATAAAAATATCTATATCTTTTTATGGTGCCAATCAATATTAAATAGGACCAATGATATGAATAAAATGTCTCAAATAAACATTATATTACTTTGTTAAAACTAAATTTACTTTAACTATGAATATATATATGTAAAGAGTAAAATGTAAGTAGTAATAATACATTTTGATTTCAAGACTATTTACCTTTCTTATGGATACATCGGAATCGGAAGACACGCCATATATAAAAAATTGTAGGAGTTTCTAGACATATTATAAGTATATTCACGTGTTTCTGTAGCATGTTACCAATCATCTACGTCTAATAGTATTTTAGAATGAAAAAAAAATCTCTGACAGACATAGAGTCATAGACACCAAGGTGACTCTAAAAGTGATCGAATATTTCTAAATTTGACACGGAACAGCATTGAATGATGTCCCTAAATTCAAGCGCACGCGAGCGAAGCCGCGGGTAAAAAGCTAGTAATAT